ATAGCATGAAAAGGGTTCTCACCGCAGCATTGACAATAAACGGTACCGAAAACAGCAATTACTCTCCCGTAAAGCTTACCGCGTACAAACATTTAAAAGCCCCAAATAACAAACAAATCTAAACCCTAAACACAAACATGGCAGCTACAAACTCAAAAGTTACCACCAATCAACCTATCAACCGAGATGAGCAGCCAACTCTTCCGACTATACCCGCCACCCGGGAACCAGCAGACTGTTAAAATTGATAATGCCCCGAAGTATGTTTCACTAGACCACTGAACAAATATTAATCTTTTCAGATACCTTAATATTGATTCAAAAAGATGTTTACACAGGAAAAAGAAAACAATATGTGCGAGATTGGAACTCCCGGTGGAATATTTAGATTAATTTAGCTCTTTAGGCCAAGGAAGGGACCCTGGATAAGGAGCTGACCCACAATATCTGAAAAGACCTTCAATTTCAGGACACCCATTTGGATAGGGAATTGACCTGTGAAATGGATCACGCCCTAGTTTTTTACGGTAAAGTGAACCTCGACATCCATACGGATCTTCTTGGAATTGAGCCCGCACAATTGCTTCTCCTTTCCGGGCTGCTACTTTTGCAGTAGAAATTGCTGGGGTACCCACGTAGAAGAACCTTGACTCGGGAAAGCCAATAGCAGCCCGGTGTAGATGCGCAAATCTCTCCTCCTTGAAATCATAACTTACGACCTGGTTTGCATACAGTCGTGTTAGGTTATAAAGTAATTGTTGGTTTGCATCCTAACAGCTTGAGCTTTCAGGAATACTGCTTTATCATATATTGTGTTTTCAAACCAATATGGATACAATTATTAACATGCTTCATGAATACTCATCATGCAGAGTGGTCCTTTGTGCGATGTTTAAAGTAACTCGTATAGAAATGATGTATTGTGTTTCAAAGCTGAGAGAGAGAGAGAGAGAGAGATGTCTTTTGCATTTTTCTAATAGATGATGCATATATTGGCTTGCACTAATGAGCAGTTAAATTTTATATTTTCACAAGCCCGTACATATGAGTACATATATGCGCTCAGCCTACATTGTCGCTCTTTGTGCTAATGGGTGCTTAACTGTTTCCCTATAATATTTTCATCCTATGTCAAGACACAAGCACACCATACTTGTATTTTAGCTTCAAAGATGGCAAATCAGATTGGGCAGAACGGGCTTACAGTTATATTTTGAGGATATGTGCCAGTAAGCTCTCTGAACCGGCACACACTGAAGAGAAGATTCTCAAAACTGTCCCTTGCATGCTCTTCTGTGAGTGTCCTCGATCTCAAATCTTCTTGGCCTAAACAAAACATCATGGCATAAGTTTTATGCGAGTTAAAGATCAGTAAACGATGGTTCAGACCAACATGGATATAAATTAATGTTGCACAATCATGCTTTATTCTCCTTTACAAAAGTAACTATGCTTTTGACAATAAAGTGAGAGGAGAAGAGGAAAGGCAAAAGGAAGAATAAAACATTGCCATAAGTAGCAGACCAGAAACAAAGTAAAAATCATATAACATGAAGAAACATTTCATTGGTAGCATAAATAAAATCAGCTCAGCATAGAACGAAACGACTTTAAGTAGTTCATGCATAAAGGATACTGAGAGACGAGAAAGAGAAATCTAACAGAGATAAAGAAACAGAATAAAAGAGGGAACGAGATTAAAGAAAAGAATATTTGCGTAAACCAGATAACTCCACAATGATATATGATTTGCCAAATAACAAGGGTATTGCCTGCTTCCTTATTTTATGCAACTAAAAACAGGAAAAGTAATTCCAGTGAACACAGAATGATGAAATGGATAAAAGACTTGCAGAGTTACCATTTTTTGTTATAGTAAATTCAAGAAACGAGGATAGTGTAAATGAACAACAGTGGACCAAAGTGAAATTGACAAACATTTAGACTAAAGGACTTGTACTTTCAATAAAGTTACCCCTTGTGCAACTGGAATATGCATGATATTCCCAGTCCTACTAAAATTTCATACCCACACTGTCAAATGATGTACTATGTAGTTATTTAAACATACCCACAATAGTTCAAACTTATGCACTGCTATTTTTAGCTTTTTCATATGACATTATGATATTCATCCAAAATCCAAAAAGAAGACGACAAATGGAATCATATACTGAGGTAAAACATGAAGTGTACACAACTTGCATATATTGTATACCACTATATCTCTTCCCAGGGTGATAAACGTCACTAGCAAAGATATGACTCAAAAGTTCAACAGATTTATCATTTCACAACTTGGTTTATCTTGTTAACAGCCTTGTCAACAAATAGAAAATCCATGTGCAGTTATTAGCTTACTCAATTATGAAAAACAATCTTCGAAGTTGACATTTAAATCTTTTGTGTGTATTTCAACAAACAAAGTTGACAAGCTTCTTTGGCACTTAAAAAATAAAAACAACAGAAAACACCACAGCAAGAATTAATAATCTGCTTTTCTTTTCTGCAAGACCCTTCTCCTAAAGGAAGACAAAAGCATTTAATTCTTTCTTTTCTACCGAAGAACCTATTTACACAAATGCTATAAATTCAAAGCAACTGCAGATCGCAAGATAAAAGATTATAAACAATCAAGTACATGGGAACTAAAAAGCATCCTATATATCGTTCTTCATACAATCACCAGTCAATCATCTTGGCTTAAAAATGAATCATATGTAAAAGAAGGCATGCCAAAACATGTCTAATGCAAGAGAAATAACAGGAACTCACCAAACCATCCTTTTGATTCAGCAACTGCCCAGTAACTCTGTGCCTCACTGCGAGGACCGGCATCTCTTCGAGTCTCTCCACCACTAAACAGCAGAAGAGCTGCATTGTCTTTGGCTGCGACTCCAATTCCCTCTTGTATATGTGCCACAAAAGTAGCAGCCTGACCTGGATTCTTCTGGTAAGACTCCAAAAACCAAGAATCCTCCTTATCAACTTTTCCACAGCTACTACTAGTATAAACTGAATGCCCGGCAACCATGACTAGATTCTGGAGATTCGCTAACGGATAACTAGACGAACTCACGTCATAATTTTGGTAGTTATTCGTCATTTGGTGCCCTCTCTCGTACAGAGACAAAAGTATGAGAATTGAGACCCCAAATGACAAGGAGATGACGAAAACTAAAAGGGGATGCAGCTTGCAGTAATACTGAATTCGGTTTCCGATAGACCTAATCATTTTGATGGGATGCGATGATAAACTCCTATGCTTTCGGGGTTTTCTAAATGTTCCAGATTCTAAATCAAACTCACCACTCGGGTAGGCTACAAAGGACTTAGGACTGCCGGGCCGAAACGGATAATTGCTCATTATAGTACAGCAAATCCAGCTTCCACGGATTAAATTGAATGGAACTATTCATACCCAGATGAAAATTTACAGCAAAAAATCAATGGTGATCAAGAAATCTATGATACAAATACAGAACAATATGAACAACGGAGATCAACCCAACTTCTGTATACAAGCTAAGATTCATAAAGTTTGCAGCTTTCAACGAGAATCAGATAGATTTGCGAATGAATTCACAACTGAATCGAAGCAAAAAGTGTCTGATCCGGAGAGAAAAAGCTCACCCGAAACTCCGTGGAATTGCTCTGTGTGTGCACTCACTCTGCTTGTAAGGGAGAAGAAGAACGTTTGAGGTTGCAGAGGTTCTTTTGTTATTCAATTACAGGGAAGATTCAGGATTTAGATGTTCCCTTGAGATTTGAATTTGGACTCCGATGGAGGAAAAACAATAATTTGGAATTCGATGTTTTTTAAGGCTTGTTTTATTAACATCTTACATTTTGTGAACTACACCTACATACTTAATATATCTCACATTTACTTTTTAAATTAAAATTTTTCTTAGCACACCGCACATATTTTTTAATACTACCCTCACATCTCACATCTTGCACACCCCACAATCATCAACTAATTAACCACACATCAAACTCTTCATCCCTTTCAAACAATAGAATAATCCACATTTTAAAGACAAAAAAGATTAATTAAAATGTTGTATAAAATCTCCATCTTGCCGTTTGATTTATAAACATCCGTCAAGTTTTCTTGAACAATCACGTTGGATTCTAAGAAGCCTGATGGACAAATGGTAAGAACTATTGTTATAAGGTCATGTCAGTTCCAACCAGCCAACAAAACATTAAATTTCTTCATCATCAAACAGCCACAAGAATATTACATTTAATTACATCTTAAAATTTTCAACATTCTCTAGTTTTCTTTTTATTTCTTGGATTCCAATTAGAACAGGGCATTGCAAAAAGTGAAATTTTTTTTCCATTATTTAAATAATTTCATGAATGTGAAAACCAACGAATGAACAAGGAGCAAAACTCGATTTTTTATTCAGTTCATCAAAAGATATATTTTCATCAACTTGTTTGTGTTTTTAGGGTTTTGTTCTATAATGGAGAGTAAGAGCAATTATGAGGGTTCAAATAGTCATTTCATATTAGAGTTACAAGTTGTTTAGTATTACATTTTTAAATGGAGTGTATTTAACAATATGTGAGGTGTTAATAAAAAAAAAACCCATTTTTATTCTATTTTTCCTAGATTTGTTACATTTTTCGTTCTGAGACATTTGTTTATACAAAAATTGTCAAAAAGTCAATGTTTTTATTTTCTTCTTTTCTTGGCAAAGGTCTAAAGTCGATGTTTTGGTAAAACATCCCTTAACTTCGCTGTGGCTCCAAGGTAAAGTTCAATCTATATTGCGACTCAAGGATTTATTTTTTATTTTTTATTTTTTGAGGTTTATTTTATTTTAAGGTTTATTCGTACCCAAAGTTATTTAGATTGAAAACCATTTGGCCATATGAGAGAGTGCAAAAGGAACATTGTTTGTTGAAAATAACAATGATCTTTAAAAGAGACTATAAAAGTAAGTAAAGATACGATAAAGCAAAGGTTATGTAACCAAAGTAAATTACATCACCAAATTTCCGATTTCACTGACTTTCGGGAAAAATATAACAATTTCGAGGTTAACATTGTAATTGTAGTACCAGATTACACAAAACTATACAACTTTGCAAAATCAGACTTCTTATGATTAAGATTTTAAGACGTACACAAGACTCGTTAATACTATTTAAAAACATTGACCAGAAAGAAAACAGGAAATATCCATGAGTTTTACGCACAAGATTTAGACATAGCTGTCGATCAAAGATTTCCTCATTTCATCCACAATAGCACTAGGTTGAGCTTCCCTCAACTTGAAAACGCTTTCAATAACTGAGAGTTCTGTGGCAGTAGTGTCTAACCCGCAGAATGCTGTCCAGTCGTTCACTGTCATGCCCGCAGCTATCACTTCACTACCACGGTTTACTGTTCCAGCAACAAGAGGGACCTGAAGTAGCGTCGACAGTTCATCCAAGTCTTCAACAGATGTATGGGGATGAACCTACACATTTTTTAATTAGAGTGGGACCAAAGGGACAAGAAATATGAAATAATGAAAGTACAAATCTTCCACAAATATGTCTCAGAAACACCAGCCCAAGAAGACATATTCTTACCAAGCCACCTCTGTTGGTGAAGGAACAGTAGCTGCCTACAAGAATATTACCAGCAATAGTCTGCCTAAAAACTTCCACTCCAAGAACATCTGCAATCATCTCCTCAGTTTCCTATGCAAAATAGCAAATACAACGAAATGAACAAAATGAATGGATTCAAAGTTTAATGTCATTGGCTAAATGGAAAAGAGTAGTCTAAGTTCATATAAGAGCTAAAGTTTGCTTGCAAGAAGCACAAGAAACGCGGCTTGCGATATATGCGTACGGACTCGGTCAAAACATACAACCACATTAAAACCCGAGAACTTGACCTCAAAACATTTTCAAAGAATTGCTAAACAGTCAATATGCAAAAAGCTTCTGAAGCCTCAGGATTTGGTATGTTAAGATGTCTTTGGTGGAGGAACCAAAGTCTTTTCAACCATTTGATTCCTCTTTAATTTCTGAACAAAGTTACATATATATCATTCTGAAGTAAAATCAAACTGTTTGGTGAAATGTCATGCTATGCATAATAAGTGACACTATCCAACCATTCAATTCCTCATTAATTTCTGAACAAAGTTACGTATATATCATTCCAAAGTAAATTAAAACTGTTTGGCAAATAATAATGTGACTATCCACGGTTGCATATGGTCGATATTGAGTTATATTTTTCCTTTAAAATGGTTTGAACATGCTCTGCAGTAACCCCTGTGAATACTCTTACACGCTAAACAGGGATCATCTTTTGATAGATGTACGATGCCTTCATAGTTTCCTATGATTGCAAAGAGGTTGGAATCTATTTGTGAAGAGGAGCTTTATGGGTTACTCGCATTGAATTCACATATTCAAGGGAAAGCAAAGAATGCACATGATAAAATCAACATAAAAATTTCGAATAAAGTATTAAAAGAATACCCTGTCAAGATCAGTGTGTGTAAGAGCAACATGATCATTGCATGCGATACAGTTACCAAGAGCCGATAGCCTCTCTTCGATACGCTGAACAACAACGTTATCAGGTAAGCTGTTCCTCAAGTGCTGGAGTTCTTCAATTTCAATAAAAACAGAAGCCCAATAAGTCGGAAAACCGAAACACGACAACATCAAACATAAAATACCCAAAAACAAAAAGAAAACGAAAAAACAAAAAGTACCTTGGTCGGTGGTAGTGTGAGGCAAAAGAAGCCCGTTTTTGTTTCCTGAAATCCAAATTTTAATAAATTTTCAAAATTCATATAAACAATCTAGAATTTTTTTAATTCTTAATTAATACCAAAAAGAAAGACAAATAAAAGATTTACAATAGAAAAGAATACCAGCACAGAGGCGGCCTATGATGCGAGTGCCGCCGATGGAGGTTTTCACGACGGGGATGACATCAGCCAACTCCGCCTCAAAGGTGCTGTAGAAGTTCTCAGAGCCTCCGATGGAGACCAAACAGTACGCATTCGTCAGCTTCGAAAACACCCCAACCTCGCACGAGTTCTCGAATTGCAATCCTGCAAATTCCCAATTAATTTTTCAATTTAATTTTATTGGAAACAAATACGAGAACAATAATCGGAGAACGAAGAAGAAGAAAACAAGACTTACTGGTTGCCATGGATTGAGGGCAACGCCTGACTGCAAGGTACGAGTGTAGGAAAAACTAGGGTTTTGGAGGTTGAGGAAGAGAGAGGGCAATTAGGGTTTTTGATTGCAGACAGGTCAACAACAATTTTTTCCTCCCGTTCTTTTTATATATTTCAGATGTCCAAACTAAATGCCAACAAAAAATTTTGCCAAAATAAACAATTAAAATTAAAATTTTGATCAAAAAAATGTTTCAAAATGATAAAAAGTGTAAATTTGTAAATTTGTACTTATCGCTCTCTATTTACTTACTCTCTGATTTGCTCTTATAAACTAATACATCTCTTTTTTTAATTTTTAAAGTAAAAAAAATATTAAATAACATGTCTAGTATTTTTTAAATAAAATATGCGTTAAAACATTATTGGACAAAATAAAAAAATGAGAACTCACGGGTGATTATCCAGGAAGTATTCTTATTAAAATAAAAAGAGTTTAATTTCGTCAACGGTACCATCTCCAACATTTGGGTTAAAACCTAAAAAGTTTTAACCTAGAATGTCACATCCCTTCCCGTGCTTCACCACATCCCGGGCTCAACTCTGCCGTAGCACGATATTATTTGTTTTGGGCCTCGACCACGCCTACGGCACGATATTATCCGTTTTGGGCCTCGACCACGCCTTCACGGTTTTATTTATAGGAACTCACACGAGAACTTCCCACTAGGTCACCCATCTTGGGAATGCTCTCGCCCGAACTTACTTAACTTCGAGTTCCAATGGAATTCGAAGCCAGTGAGTTCCTAAAAGGCCTCATGCTATATGGAGGTGGGCATGTACAGATAAGGCACATCACCCCCTTTCCGTTGGTCGATGTGTGGGAAGTTACATAGAAAATGTAGGATTTTAATCCATAAATAACTTTTCTGGTCCAAATCTTCATGGTTAAAATTTTAGTCTGAGATTATTAAAGAATAATTTTATGATGGTTTTATATATATAGTAACTTTAAAAAAAATTATGTAAACTATCGTAATTTAATTTTATGAACATTTCAACCTAAAAATATTTAGATTCCAATTAATATTGAAAAATCATTAAACCGACATCATGAAACTCGTGGAATACTATAAAAGAATATGAAACACATAAATGATTTTTTTTAATTATTTTAGCCACTGGATTTTAATTTGGATCGTTACATTTTTTTTTTTAACTGTTAGATTTGATCATATAAGATCTTAACCGTTATATTTAATGAATTTATAAATATAAAATTAAAAAAAAACACATATATGATGGTGAGCCCATTAATCCATAGGGAAATTTGGCCTAAATGTACTCCAAAAATAAATTTTGAGTTAAAACTCATATTTTGGCTAAGGGTTAGAGCAGGTTGGGATGGGTTTACGTGAGAACCCTCTTTTTTTTTATTTTTTTTTTAACAAATAATAGTATCTATACTAAGAAAGTAGGAAAATGAGATAAGTCTTACATTAAGCCAGCTATAATAATGTATTTGTTCACTATTATTATTGTTTATTGTTATTGTTCTTATTATTATTATATAATGTGTATATATTTGTATATGTTATTAATCCACATTTTCACATGTTGGTCAAAACGTGATGACCAAAAGAAAGAATGGTGTTTTTGTAATATCCGCAGAGATGTATGACTTATCTGACTACGTGGAGAACACTCCCATTTCCCTGGAGTAAGGACCAAGTTAAATAGATGTTTGCCTTGTCATCATCTTCATTCAATGTAAAATAACAATTGTTGTATTTTATTAATAAACTTACTTGGTCCCGAAGTCTAGTTGCTGCACGATGTCTTTAGATTAGGTGTGGTATCTACACACACATTTTTTATTTCTCGTACATTTTTTTAATTTTTGATCGTCAAATCTGATGAATTGAAGAAGATTAAAGGACGAAAATTAACAAGAATGTATGAGAAGTAAAAATGAGTGTATGGATAACACAATCCGGGAGTTAAATTCAGTGTTAATTGTGTTAACTGTTCCGACAACCACAGGGACCTCAACAAGTGCTAAAATTTCATTCAAGTCTTTGATCGATGCGTTTGATGAACCTGCATTTAGTATTTTTTAGGGTTAGGGTTAAGAATGGAACCAAAGAAAAATAAAAGGAGAAAGAAGTGGACAGTAAAAATCCAATGGAAGAAAGATTTTAAAAGCACAGTACACAGTGACCGTAGTATCTCATTTCAATAATTAAATGCAAATAAAGGAGAGACATATTCTTACCAAGCTACCTTTGTTGGATATGGTCCAATGGCCACCCACAGGTATACTACTAGCACTCGTCAGCCTAACAACTTTAACGTCAAGAACATGTGCAATTATCTCCTCAGTTTCTTGAGGCAAAAAAAATAAATGAGTAAGTGCAGGAGCAATCTTGAAATTTATTTGCTTATGTATTAAGATAGTAGATTGCTCTACAAGATTGCTTAAAAAAAAAGGACAATCTCAAGCCAACAAGACTCCTTATTTGTAAGGATCGGGAGAAGAACGTCTATCTTACATAGCCTTAGGTTGTTTCCACAAATCATCATATGAGATTGGGATTGAGGAAATATCATCATCAACTAAAAACCTAAACAGAATTTGTGGAGCAGATGAAGAATTTGACACAGCTTTACTTAGATCAGACTGGGATTGAGCTAAAAATCTGTTAGGGCTTTCTCGATTGTATGTAAGTGGTTGCAAAAATCTCACGAGTCTACCCAGTACGATTTGTACTTTGAAGTCTCTTAGACGGCTAAATGTGCATGGATATACGCTCAAACTTCAACAAATTAACTCCCAGGGCACATGGACCACCTTGAGTGCACTTTGTTTGGGAACTGCTTTAACAGAGCCGTTTGTTAGCATGAAACATCTCCAACGTTTAAAGTTTAATGGATTGGATTTGGATTGGAGCCTTCTCCGTGCTCTTGGATTTTTAGAGTCGTCCTTATTCTTGTTGGGGCCTGGTTCGATTTTTAGAGTCGTCCTTATTCTTGTTGGGGCCTGGTGTTGTCTTCTCTAAATCGTTTATGTTCTTTAAGAATGTTAAACCTAAGCTATTGTAAATTATGTGAGGGAGATATCCCCATTGATATTGGCTGCTTATCCGTTCATTAGCCTTCCTGGAAGCATTAGATGCCTTTCAAAGCTTAAGTATCTTGATTTGGAGGGGTGCAAAAGCCTTCAGGAGTTGCCACATTTTCCAACAAATAGAAAATTACACGTAAATGTAGACAATTGTATTTCCTTAAAAAGATTGTCCAATGCATCCAGTTGAGCAGCAAATTTGCCAATTTGTATGAGTTTACTTTTGGTTCTATAAATTGCATTTTATTGCTTCAAGATGAAGGCTGCTGGACTAAGACAATACTTTTAGTTCCACTGTGGTACTCCCTCCCTTCCCTCTCGATACACTTATGGATTGGTGGATTTCTCATGGTGCTGGTGCGCATGCATCCATTTTTAGGGTAAGAGACTACGATCTAACTACTCGATATGATGATCTATTAGATTGTGTCCTCAGGCATCGTGACGGACAAGGGATTTCTTTCAAAACCTCATTCACCCCTCCCTGTAGTTCAAGATCAACATAATTGATTGGGTGGCTAGAAGCTGACTAATTAGCTTGAAAGAAGAACACAACAAGATTGACCAGGAAGTGCTAGACCTCTCTTGGTTGACCGAAGGCCCTACTTTTCCCAAGCTCATGGATTTTTTTTCATGGAAGGTAATTAGCGAACCAACTACACAGAACAATCCATCATATGATGCATACTTTCGAGAGTAGTCTTATTGAACTTTAGACGTATCACTTCATTTTTAAGATGACTAGTGAATTTGAGGTTTACAAGATGCATTGTAGTGGGAGCTTTATTAGGGTACACAATTTGGGCAACCAAATATTCTTTACAAGAAGTGGTTCTTTCTTGTATGTTCCTCCATTGCTATCTAATGAGAGCGGCATCTTCTACTTAGATGGTGAATATGTGGAAAAGATCCTTTCCGATCCAATCATTGACAATCTAACAGTGGAAACTATGTTGGCTCGTTCCTGTTTAAAATATAACTAGAGAAACGGTGGAGGGAAGTGGATTTCGCGCATTTCTCCAACCGAAAGAGGGTCAGAGAGCTCATTTCAGCCCTCCAAAAAATTAATATTTTAATGAACATTGTAAGCCCATATTTCTTACCATCTCCAACTGAGGGTCATATGGTTCGTTTTAGCCCTGTCACAAAAAACAGTCTCCAACCGAGGGCCAAAGGGTCAAACATAATTTATTATTTAAATTTAAAAACTACAACAACTTAAATTTATAGGAAAAACAAGCATGGAGCAGGCGTTTAAGTTTTATGTTGTTAAATGCTTTTAAAAATGTTGTTTAAGTTTCATGTTGTTAAATGGATTTTTTATGTTGTATAATTTTTATGTTGTTTAATGTTATTTAATGTTGTTTCATATTGTTTAATGTTGTTTCATGTTACTTAATTTAATTTAATGTTGTTTAATGGCTTAGGAAGTTATAGGGAAAAAAATAGAATTTAAAAAAAAAATTAAAAATTTTGTAAAAAAAAAATTCAAAAATAACGGCTAGCTGTTGCAATTTGAATTGTCGTCAGGCTCGGGGCTGGCTAGCTGGCACATTTGGGTCGCATGGGTGGCCCTTTAGCCCTTTTTTGTCCAGTGGCACATTTTCGAGCTATTTTCGGCTCTTTAGCCCTCTGGATCATTTGATTGGAGATGGTCTTACTAGACAGAGAATCTGACCATATGTGTGGCACAGTAGTAATTGAAAGGTTCCAAGGAGATTGAAAGACTAGGAACAAGTCAAAGAAAGTGGTTGATAACAAACAATATATTCTCTCTTTCTGAGAGTTTTTCTCACCTCTTTGTGTGAGTTTTTTAATTGTTGTTTTTTCTCCCTAGCCGTCAGCCCAAGCTCCAACGAGGGTCAATGGCCGTCCTGTGTTGTTTTTCCTTGTTCTTCTTCCTTCTTCCACCCTTTTTCCTTTTCTTTCTACCCTCATCTTAGTTTTCCTTCCACTTCCATGTCTCTCATTTATCCCTCTTACTCTGTTTTCCCAATTCCTTCCAGTCCTAATTCGGGTGGGCTCCATCCTTCCTTGTTGCTTCCTCTTTCTGATATGCA